CTTTGTACCACCGAAGTCAGAGGCTATAAACATGCCCATCCCCCAAATAGTGTGTACCACACCCATTAGGTGTGAATATACCCATCCCCCCTCCCACCTGCCCAACACCCAATGAATGTTAATTCTATATGTGCACAGAAATGTTGACCAATTAGTCCCAATTTTATGGTGAATACAGGTGATGTTTGTTTTTCCATTATTGTGATACTTTATTTAGAAGAATGGGCTCCAGCTGCCTCCAGGATGCTACAAGACGTATTAGTTCACCATTGTTTCTGTGGCCAAGTAGTAAGTACTCCATGGTATACATATACCACATTCTATTAATCCACTCATGTATTGATGGGCACTTGGGTTGTTTCCACATCTTTGCTATTGTGCATTGTGCTGCTGTAAACATTTGAGTACAGATGTCTTTTTTTATAGAATGTCCTTTTTTCCTTTAGCTAATTACCCAGTAGTGGGATTGCTGGATCAAACTGGTAGTAGAACTACTGTTCTTCTTTGAGTTCTTTGAGGTATCTCCATATTGTTTTCCATAGAGGTTGAACTAATTTGCAGTCCCACCAGCAGTGTAGGAGTGTTCCTATCTCTCCACATCCACACTAACATTTTTTGTTTTGGGACTTTTTGATAAAAGCCATTCTCACTTCAGTTAAATGATATCTCATTGTGGTTTTGATTTGAATTTCCCTGATGATTAGAGATGTTGAGCAATGTTTCATATGTTTGTTGGCCATTTTTTTCAGCATATTATGGGGGTACAAATGTTAAGGTTACATGCTCATGCTCTCCCTCCCCCTCCCACCTACTCAACACCCGATAAATGTTATTCCTATATGTCCACTTAAGTGTTGATCCATTAATACCAATTTGCTGGTAAGTACCTGTGGTGTTTGTTTTTCCATTCTTGAGATACATCACTTAATAGAATGGGTTCCAGCTCTATCCAGGAAAATACAAGAGGCGCTATATCACCATTGTTTCTTAAAGCTGAATAGTACTCCATGGTATACACATACCACATTTTATTAATCCACTCATGTATTGATGGGCACCTGCGTTGTTTCCACACCTTTGCGATTGTGAACTGTGCTGCTATAAACATTCGAGTGCAGGTGTCCCATTTATAGAGTGTCATTTGATCTTTTGGGTAGATGCCCAGTAGTGGAATTGCTGGATCGAATGGTAGATCTACTTGTATCGCTTTAAGGGATCCCCATATTGTTTTCCACAGAGGCTGAACCAGTTTGCAGTCCCACCAGCAATGTAGGAGTGTTCCTATCTCTCCGCATCTACGCCAACATTTACTGTTTGGGGACTTTTTGATAAAGGCCATTCTTACTGGAGATAAGTGATATCTCATTGCAGTTTTGATTTGCATTTCCCTAATGATTAGAGATGTTGAGCATTTTTTTCATGTATGTTGGCCTTTATTCTGTCTTCTTTTGAAAAGTTTCTGTTCATGTCCTTTGCCCACTTTTTGATGGGGTTGTTTGATTTTTTTCTTGGTAATTTTGCTGAGTTCTATACAGATTCTAGTTATCAGCCCTTTATTGGATGTGCAGCATGTAAATATTTTCTCCCATTCTGTAAGTGGTCTGTTTGTTCTTGTGATAGTTTCCTTGGCTGTGCAGAAGGTTTTTAATTTGATCAGGTCCCATTTATTTCTTTTTGTTGTTGCTGTGATTGCTTTTGGGGTCTTCTTCATAAATTCTTTATCTAAACCAATGTCTATAAGAATTTTTCCAACATTTTCTTCTAGAATTCTTATGTATTCATGCCTTAGGTTTAAGTCTATTATCCACCGTGAGTTGATTTTTCCCGCCCTTGCCCCTGACACTGTCTTGGAATTCCATTTGCTCTATTCCTCGAAGTAATGACCCCCCTCCAACTCCCCACCCCCCGCTGCCACACTAACCTTCCTTCCCAAAACCCAGTCTAGGCCCAGCCCTGGGCTTCCTGCTCGCCTTGGAGGGATGTCCACACAGCACTAAATTCCCAACAGCCCTCTCTCCCCCAGGATCTCCAAGCTGTGCTCCAGAACCCTCCCAGCTGCGCCCAGAATTGTGTGGAGTAGAGGGAGGAAGAGGGCAGACCCAGAGCCAGGGCACAGGGTCCCCCGGCCTTGCTTCCACAAAAGCGCATCTGCTCACAGCTTTTATAGCTTCAAGTATAATTTTTCCTAGAAAAAAACGTACATGCGTAAACATCAGAATGTAAATATTCTATGCCTTCAGGATAGATAGAAATTTTAACTTGGAAAAAACTTTAAGTAATAGTCATCTCCCACTTAAAAGAATTTTAATAGAGAGCCTATAGAATGTTTGGCTTTCAGTAATGGAATTACCTGGTGAGCCCTTTCAGATTAAAAGGCTGCAAAACGTGTGCCCGTGGTGACTTGCTATGTTGTATTACAAACCAGACTAAAGTCCAGGCAAACTTACCACAGAAAATGACTTTGATTCTAAATGCTCAATCTGTAGCTGTTCTTTCTGAAAGTAATTATATAGCAAAGCCAGAACTTTTTGTAACCTGAGTATTCTCTTCCTAATTTATCTGTCCTGGAAGTTCCCATCTTGTTATGCTTGATGGAGCACAACCATATTTATGTGGGACCCAACATGTGAGTGATGAATGTGACTTATGGTGGGTCATATTCCTACTTGTCCATGGGGGCAGGATGGCCAGCTTGCCAGACCCTAAGGAAGAGATGGAGTGGAGGAGCAGAGAATGAGCCTCTGAAAATGACACGCTAACTCAACACTAAGAAAATGAACAACTGGATTCAAAAATGGGCACAGGACTTGAATAGGCATTTCTCCAAAGAAGATAAATAGATGGCCAATAAGCACATGAAAAGGTGTTCAACAGTGATTAGGGTGTTCCCTAATCACTAATCATTAGGGAAGTGCAAATCAAAAGCACAGTGAGATGCCACCTCATACCCATCAGGATGGCTGTCACTAAAAAAACGGAAAGTAAGTGCTGGCAAGGATGCAGAGAAGTTGGAATCCTTGTGCACTGTTGATGGCACCATAACATGGTGCAGCTGCTGTGGAAAATAGCATGGCAGGTCCTCAAAATTTAGACATAGAATTATCATATAGTCCATCAATTCCACTTCTGGATGTACACCCAAAAGAATTGAAAGCAGGATCTCAAAGATCTTTGTACACCTAAGTTCATAGGAGCATTATTCACAATTGCTAAAACTTGGGGGGGAGGGACCATATATTCAATAGAATAAATAAGCAAAATGGGCCGGGTGCGGTGGCTCACGCCTGTAATCCTAGCACTCTGGGAGACCGAGGTGAGTGGATTGCTCGAGGTCAGGAGTTCGAAACCAGCCTGAGCAAGAGCGAGACCCCCGTCTCTACTATAAATAGAAAGAAATTAATTGGCCAACTAATATATATAGAAAAAATTAGCCGGGCATGGTGGCACATGCCTGTAGTCCCAGCTACTTGGGAAGCTGAGGCAGGAGGATTGCTTGAACCCAGGAATTTGAGGTTGCTGTGAGTTAGGCTGCCGCCACGGCACTCACTCTAGCCTGGGCAACAAAGCGAGACTCTGTCTCAATAAATAAATAAATAAGCAAAATGTAGCATACACATACAATGGAATATTTTTCAGCCTTAAAAGGGAAGGAAATTCAGACACCTGTTACACCATGGATGAACCTTGAGGACATTATGCTCAGCAAAGTAAGCCAGTCACAAAAGAACAAATATAATTCTACTTATATGAGGTACCTAGAATAGGCAAATTCATAGAGAAAGAAATAAGAATATTGTTTGCCAGGGACTAGGGATAGGAAGGAATGAGGAGTTAATATTTAATAAATGTAAAGTTTTTGCAAGATGAAAAGAGTTCTGGAGGTGGATGGTGGTGATGATTGCACAACTATGGGAATATAATTAATGCCACTAAACTGTACACTTACAAATGGTTAATATGGTAAATTTTCTGTTATGTGCATTTTACCACCATTTTAAAAATAGAAAAAACAATGACCTCTGAACTTAAAAGGGAAGGCAGCTGTGGCCTAGGAGAAAAGACAGGTGAGCTCATGGCATTTTGACCCAAGTTTCAATGAGAAGCAGATATTTTCAAACTGGGCTACAGTGTCGTCAAAGATATAAAGAAATGCAAGGCCGGCAGGAGTGGACACTGGCATGATTTTCTGTAGGGTGATGTGGGGAAATGAATGAAAGCCTTATATCTGTGCAACAATTCCACTTCTAGGCCTTTCTCTCTAGGAAATAATCATAGATGCCCATAAAATACATCTATGAGAGTGAACACCTGTTTAAAATATCAAACAATTGGAAACAACTTAAGTGTACAAAAGTGGGGCATGGTGAAATAATAAGTGTTACACTGCCACCATACAATTAGTAAGAACTATATTGTCAAAAAATATGTAGTGGCCTGAGAAAATGTTCTCAATATATCACTAAATGTTAAAAAAGCAAGTTACAGAACAGCAAGTCCAGAATTCGTACTTGTTATATATGTTACATATGTGTATATACATAAAGAGAGGGAGTTATTAATACAGGTGATTTTAACGTCATCTTTCTACTTTTCTTTATTTTCCAAATTTTCCATACTGTACATATATTATTTATGTGATCAGAAATAAAAATACTGTATAAGTATTTTTAAGTTGAATCGGAGACCCCTCGATTTCTAATTGAAGAACAGAGGGCCTAGGCTAGGTTGAAATTTTTCCTTCACAGGTGTCACTGTAAAGGGGTGCAAAAATGCCACTTTTTTATTGTCCTCAGCCAGGCTGTAGTGTCAAACATCAGACTGCAAGAGGGAGTTTAAAATGTTTAAGAGAATAAATTCTGCAATCACTTCAAAAGCACCATTTGCAGGCAAGCCATTGGTATGCTAATGTCCAATCACTCCCCTCTTATTCATTAAAACCAGTCACCCAAGGTTCCCACCGACCAATAATTGCGGCTGGGGGTGGGGAGCGGGAGAGTAGGATGAGGGACCGAAGGGCCTGGCTGCCTGGAAGTAGACTCCCTTTCCGGTACCAACTCTGTAGTTGCGACCTGCCGACCTGCCGCTCAGTTCCGCGTCCCCCTGTTCCGGCGTCCAGGTTCGCGCATGCTTCGACTTCCGTGCTGTAAGTTGATCTGTTGGCGTCAGTGCCCATTTGGGCTTCTCCTGGGAATTTGTGTTATCTGTCGTGGCATTCATGTGGCTTGGCCCTGTGCGCCACGTCATGGAAACCCAGCATTGTGACCGGAGAGGGGACCCCGGAAGAAGAGAACGGACCGGCGGCGTCCGCCCGCGCTTCCCTCGGGCGCGCCGGGCTCGCGGTCCCCGCACCGCCACGCACGCCCCGGGACGGCGCTGCCACCCACCGGGGACATCGGAGTGGCCCGAGGAGAGACCAGGGCGCCGGGCCGCGGTCCCCGCACCGCCACGCACGCCCCGGGACGGCGCTGCCACCCACCGGGGACATCGGAGTGGCCCGAGGAGAGACCAGGGCGCCGGGCCGCGGTCCCCGCACCGCCACGCACGCCCCGGGACGGCGCTGCCACCCACCGGGGACATCGGAGCGGCCCGAGGAGAGACCAGGGCGCCGGGCGACCGCCGAAGCTCAGCGTCGCGCAGTCCAGGGGACCCCTCCAAGTTCCGCAAGGCCGGGCCGCGCCCCCCAGAACGCGCGGACACTAGGCTGGGCACACATTAGCCGCAGGGACTTCAAAAAGGACCAACTCATGTGGCCGTGTGCAAGTCTAGGAGTGTGTACAACATTCAGTGAGCGGGAAAAGGAGGAAAGGGTATTCAGGGAGAAAAGGTCATCAGGTGAGTGTGGTTGACTAAGGTAGGGAGCCGTCCCCAGAAAGTACAGGGGCAGCCTGGGGCTCCGTCCGGCCCCTCCCACCTAAGGACCCCACCCATCTGGGAGCTCCACCTACATGGGGCCCCACCCACTTGGGGCCCCACCCACATGGGAGCTCCACCAACCTGGGGGCTCCACCCACCGGTGGCTCCACCTGCCTGGGCAGCTGCTTCCCTAGCTTCCCCAGGGTCGAGGGGGGGCGTCTGGCCAAGGTGCTGTCTGCAGAGTATCTTTCTAGCCACCTCCCCCATTAAGGTCTGTGCCTCCAAAGCACCTCCAGGGTAGGACCTGGTTTTCTGGCTCTTTCCAGACGCCACGCACCTACCACGCAGGGCTTTGGCAGCCCATGGCAGGCCTCTCAGCGCGTGCCTGGGTGCCCTTCTCCCCTCTACCTGCCTGCCGAACTTCTGTGCCAGTTTGAAGGCCAGGTCAAAAATCACCCTCCAAATTCCTCAGCCTGCTCCAGGCTTGGCTGCACCGCCTACGCCTTGTCCCAGGAGACAAAGAGGGTGCACACGTCTTTCACCCACCTATTTGAACCTATAAATCAAAAGATCTAAATTTTAATTCTGGCTCATTGCCTACCAGCTGGTTGGTCTTGGGTGCATTAACCGTGCAAAGAAAAGCTCATGTTCCTCCCTGTCAAATATGGGTGGTAAATGTATTCCACAGAGCTCTGTGGGGAATGGGTACGCTGCCTTCACCCTCCCCCAACTGTGAGACCCTCAGAGGCGTCTTATTCACATCTATCCTCAAGGTTTGCAGGGCCTTTACCAATGAGAGGCCCCCAAACCGTCTTGTGAATGGATGAGGCCAGCGACGCGAGAGAGCTGGTTTCTAGAATTTTCCCTGGTTGGCCACAGTGGTGGCGCGGTGCTGCTGCCAGTCCGAGGTGGATCTCCACTCAGAGCCACATCACTGTGCCTTGGAGAGGTGTGAAAAGATTCTGCTGCTCCCACAGAGAGAGATTGCTTCTGGGGCAGAAACCCCGGGGGGATTAGAGAGCTTCCCCTCCTCTCCTCCCTCTCGTCCCTCGTCCAGCCTGGCCTGTCACCCCCTCATCCTCCCTCCTCCCCAGCTGACACAGGCAACCACCTCCCACCTTCCAGGGGCAGCCAGAGGTGAGGCACGGATCAGCAGGAAGTGGGAGGAGAGTGAATGAGCTTCGGACACAGAGCACAGTGGCCTGGATGAGACCAGGCTCACCTTAGTTGCAGAAACTGAAGGATGCTCGTGTCAATAAAACAAGCAGCCGGATCCTGCCCGCCGCGGATGTGGCAAGCGCATGCTGTGTCCCGCACCAGTGCGCTGGACCCTCCCCAGGCACTGCCTCGCCGCCTAATCTGCTGCGAGTGGGCAAGCCCTGCGGCCGGGGAGGCCAGTCAGCCAAGCCCTTCGCAGTCCCTGAAAGGTCAGCTTGGCCCTCCCAAGCTGCAAGGAGGCAGCAAAGTCTTCCAAAAGGGCCAGTTCAAGATTCAGCCTGACTCAGTTTGCCTCAGCCACTCAAATCCCTGCCTCCTTCTGCAGAAATCCCGGCAAGGAATGTCGCCACTTGCACGTGGCCTGGAGGGAGACCAGGGTCAGTTAACTCATCCAGCCACACCCAGGAACAACATTGCAGAAATTGGCTGACACATTATTCCTCCTCCTTCAGGCATTGGGGACAAAGTGCTGCCCGCCACCCCCAAAAGCTGCAGAGGATTTTTTCAATGCAAATGCCACAGAGGAGGCTGGGCTTACAGTTTATTCTGGGGGAGGATAAGGCAGCCCCTTACCCAAGCTCCTCCCTCCTTCCTTCTGACTTAGGTGCGCCCTAAGGTGAGGGAGACACACTGCAGTGCTCCAGCCCCTCCCACGCCACCCACTCCTGGGAGGTGGCTGCGCCCCCGGCTCCACACCCCCCCTCCTCCCCCAGGAGGGATTGGCAGGTTCAGCAACATCTGGCTCTAAGAGGGTGATCACCCCCGTCTTGAGACTTCATGGATCCTGATTGCTTTCCCTTTCGATTCTGGGCCTGTCCCAGGCACAGCCTTTATCTGCCTCCCAATGACATCACCGCGTGTCCTAAGGGGTTTTTGCCTATTGTTAGGCTACAGCTGAGCTCTCTCACAATGCCACAATTGGCAGCCTCATTGGCTCCTGCTATTGAAAATATAACAGAGACTTGTCCTGCATCAAAAAACCGACATGATGGATAATAGGTAGGAAAGGGAGCCGGCACAGAATAAGGGAAGGCCCCAGTCCGTCTAATTTTCACTGACCCAGTTTCATTGCTTAGAGCACAGTACAGAGCAGAGTGAGAGAGAGAGAACAGAGTGAGAGAGTGACCTCCATATCCACAAAGCTTTATACTACAGTGCAAACGAAGCCATGGACTTCTCTCTGCTGCCACCAACACAGGATGTTAACTCAAATGAGTGGGCGACAAAGGGAATTTCCCACCTTAGGAAGCAGAGTTGAGTTGGCTAGTCACTTATGACCGGTGATTTTCATATATATAATGGGAAAAAACTCTACCCCATTCTTATGAGAGAGTTTCATGAGGTAAGGAAGGGGGTGCTGTGGGTGGTAAGTGGAGCGGATCATTCTTGCATTTGACCTCCACGCATCCCTGCACCAGCATCAGCCCCCAGGGAGAGAAGAGGGGTCCCAAGCTGTGGATTGAGTCCTTCTTAGTGGACCTCAGTCCCACGAACAGTCTGCACACATTGCCCAAACTGTGGGTGTAAGGTTTTTCGTTGGTGGTGAAAAGACAGACAAAGAGAGAGAAAGAGTGGAGGGCAAACCACATGGCTTTATTATACACTCCTGGACAAGGTTCTGGGGCCCCAAGAGAGGGGGACCCCAGAAGTCGCCCCCATTTGAAGGGGCTGAGGCCTTTTATACCCTTTGGGCCTGGCTAGGGACTTTTGGCGGGAAGAGCTGGGGATTTTCCATTGCGACCTTGGGTGGTCATTGAGAAATAGGAGGGGCTGGAGGTATTTTTGGAATCCAGGAGCCAAAACGTTCTTATCCGGGTGGACTTCTGGGTGTGGTTGTTCTCAGCGGGGTCTGGCAGTTTTGTCCTTGGTGGGTCTGGTCTCCTGAGCCTTTTCTTTTTCGATATAGGGAAGGGAGGGGGCCGCCACCAGCCTCACAGTGGGGAGAACATCTGAATGAGTTTCGGGTTGACTAATAAAGGCATGAATGTTACTATCCAGGCAGTGAGTGACAGGGCTGCACCAGCATCCCAAGGAGGAAACTCACGCATTCAAGGGCCTCCGAGAGACACTGCCTCAGGGAAGGGTGGAGGAGCAGATTGAATCCAGCACAGGAGACCAAGGAGGGAAGGGCCAGAAAGTTAGACTAATAAGAAGCTTCCGGAAGCATTATGAGTGGTGAAACATTTGAGTGATTAGTTTTTCAAGAGGATTCCTCTGTAGAACAAAACTTGCTCTGTCTCCCCAAACCTTGGGCGGAGTCTGCTACTCACTCAAAAGCTTTGATGAGTTTTTTTCCTACCTGAGAGCAGGGGAAGTTGTGAAAATTAATAAAACAGCTGAATTTCTCATCTGAGTCAAAGCACCAAGGAGCGTGGAATAGTGGGGTGTGGAAGTAAGTCCTTAGAGCCAGAGGTGACATGGGCAGATGAGTCTCCAAAATTTTCCATAAATCTTGAGGAAGGCCTAGACTTTCTGTAATCTGTACAATAATAAGCCAATCTCATTGCGTTCGGAAGGGTTGAGGTAACCCAGGTAACATCTGGGTTACACGTGTACTGTGAATTGAATTTGTATTGCATTTATGTTGATGCTTCTGGTCTTTATACAGTGATAGAAAAAAAAAAATGGCTACTAAAGTGCCCAAATCTGTGGTGTTTATGAATCCACTAGCACCCCAGAAGTACTTGCAGTGTGCAGGGGTCCATTCTAACTTCTCTGGGGTGGTGTTTCCAAACCACATAAGGTGAAGGTCAGCCACGGTCATTCCCAGTCGTGCTTGGGTGGGATGCAGCTTGGGCAACACAGGAATTCAGCAGCGCCCAATCTGGTCTATTCCTGTTCAACAAAAAGAGCCCATGATGACACGTGTTTGGATGTTGTGGCAATGTCACATTGCTGGGAAAGTTTCTAAACTCTTACTCGTCATTCCAGATCCATACCAGTTTGCTGAGGGACACTCCTCTGGACTCACAGTCTGAATAATACTGCTCTACGCCACACAAATAAATACAAAACTCTTGCTCTCAGGAAGCTTACAAACCTTCCATCAAACTAATACCCATGAAAACATGTTTACTCTAAGGCAAAGCAATCATGGTATCAACTGATAAGACAGAATGATTAATTTCAAGTGAACGAATAAATAATACAAGTTAGGAATTTAAGAAAGGAAGCCATTTGGGCAAACCAGAAGATTAGGAAAGAAAGAAAGGAAACTAGGATGTGAGATGGAGCAGAAGAGAGGCGTGTGACAAGGAGAGACCTTGACCAAGACCTTGACCTTGACCTGAAGTCTGTTAAAAATAGGGTAGTCACATCTCACCACAAAGATGGTGATATGTGAGGTAATGCATGTGTTAATTAGCTTGATTTAGTCATTTCATAATGATATGTATTTCAAAGCAACATAGTGTATACAATAAACATATACAATTTTTTATTTGTCAATTAAAAAAATTTAAATGACCCTAAAACCTTGACAAAAAAAAAATCAAGATAGTTAAAGAGAAGTCAGGAGTATATGAGCCAACACGGAGAGGTTTGAACTTTCTTTGTGAATTTAAGGGACAGAGAGCAGAACTGTTTGGCAGGAAAGGAGAATTGGTTCAGAAAAGTAATGGGAAAAGACAAGTTAGGGTCAGAATGTAGAATATTATTTAAAATGTTTGTGTGTATGTGTGTAGATAAACAGGTATAGGTGTAGAGAAAGAGATATGAGTGAATCCTCATTAATAAATCACAAGGTAATAACACATTAGGTTTTTAACACTGAACTCTAACAAATTAAATGTCAATATTAAAGTTTTACATAAAATAAAGGGAAATCTTTGTTTCTATGAAAAGTAGTGTTTCTCTCAGCCCAGGCGGGGTGGAGGGTGTGGATAGAGATCATCTCTGTGTTCTGCAGAACGACCTCTGACCTCCGGTCCTGCAAGCCGGGGGTGCAGGAGGGGTGTCTTCGCTGAAGCTGGAGGCGGGGCTCCGAACTCCAAGGAGGGGACAGAGCTGGGAGCCCACTGGGACACCTACTTTAGAGGTCAAGCACGAAGTTAAGTATGTTAACCCAAACACAGGGGACAGAAGCCAGGATGAATACTGGGGAACACAGCCAGGGCCCAAAGAATGAGCAGGGGTAAGTCTAGGCCAACCATCTGCAACAGCTGGGGCGTGGCACGGCATCACATGACGTTGCATGCTGTGGCGTGGCGCGGCATCGCATGACGTTGCCCGCTGTGGCGTGGCACGGTCTGGCGTACTGTAGTGCAGGCTGGGACGGCCTGGCGTGGGATGGCCTGGCGTGGGATGGCCTGGCCTGCTGTGGCGAGTTGAGCTGGTAGGCAGGAGAACCAGATATAGGATGGAAGTGATATCACTGGAAAGAGGGTGCTTGGGGACTGGGCTAGAAGGGGTCCCCTGGAAAGCTAACCAGAAATGTCCTGGCGGCAGCTGGAGAGAGATGCAGGAGGAGCACAGGATGGAAGAGTAAGCCCTAGACCCTTGGACTTGAGTCTTCCTCTGGAGGGACGATGACGTCACAACGGCAGGAGGGCCACGCGCTGACCACTGTGTGTTATACAAGAAAACAAGCCAGGTGCTTTCTGCACGCCCCCTCACTAACCCTCCCAACAACCCCGTCCGGTGGCACTCGAGAAAGTGGGGCTCAGAAAGGTGAGGTATTTTCGTGAGGCCACCTAGCAGGCTAACAATGGGAGCATATGAGAATCCAAATGTACCTGGGTTCCTTCATCGGCTTTTCGTTGAAGTGGGGGCAGGGAGCTCATGGCTAAATGAGGCTTTCATAGAGATTTTCAGAAGGTGCTGTACATGCATCGGGGGAATAAGGTAAATGATTCTAAGGATTGCAACCTGACCCATACCAATTAGCAATAACATTTGGTGGCAGGTGATAGTGAGGCAGAAACCTCAGATAATGGCTTAAACAGGACAGGGGTTCACAAGCCACCGGCTAGCCTATGCTATGGGGTGCCATTCACATTGTGTCTCTGGAGGAGCCACTGTGGAAGCCAGCAGCCCTGGGGCATTGGGGTTCCCCCACTTCATGTGAGAAGAAGTCAGAGAAGAGCAGACCAGAGCCGGTGTTGCAGTCCCCCAAAGTCAGGAGGAACCCAGGTTCCGTCTAGTTCCACACTCTACCATCTTCATGCTTACGCTTACAAAATGGCTGCTAGAACTCCAGCCATCACATCCATATTCTAGACAGGAAGAAGGAGGAAGGACAAAGAGCAAAAGGAACAGACTGCCTGAGGCAGCTCCCTTTAAACTGTTTTCCTAAAACCTGGAAGCCTATCTAGTCACCGCCACCTCCATTTTTACCTCATTGGCAAGAGCTGTGTTATGTCATCATTCTTACCTGGAATGGGAGGGTGAGAGGTGGAGCTTCTTTTACTAACTCCAAACAAAAGTAGGGTTGTGCTAGCTAGTGAGGAGGAATGGGTATTAGAGATCCATCTAGAAGACCTGGCACCTCACCTTCATCATGCGGCCGCAGCAGGTGCCCGACTGCCAAGTGCCTGCTCACCCGCAGGTCAGACCAGCGTGCCCACGCGGCCTCTGGCGGAGAGGCGCCTGGTTAGATCTGACACGTGTTCTTGTGGAGCGGGTCTGCTGTCTGAGAATGGAGACCACGTGTCCTCACTGAGGGACTGGGAGGTGGGAAGTGCAAGAACCATCGTCTATCGTGCTGTCCCTAGGACGGGACCCTTCCCCAAACCCGAGGGATATTGTTTATCTGCTGTCCACGGAATTGGGGCAGAAACTGTCACCTGGGTGTAGCCTGACCAGACATCTGTCCTTAACAGTTCCCGGCAGGGTTCTGTCATGGGCCGAAGCGTGTCCTCCACAATTCATATACTGAAGTGCTAACTCCGGTTCCTCAGAAGAGGCTTGTATGTGCAGACAGGGTCTTTAAAGAGGAGATTAAGTTAAAATGAGGTCATTAGGGTGCGCCCTGATCCCATATGACCCGTCTCCTTGTAAGAAAAGGCGAAGGGGCCTCAGGCACACACGGAGGGAAGACCACGTGAGGACACAGGGGGACGATGGCCATCCCCTGCCAACGCCTTGATCTCACGGGAGGAAATAGATCTCTGCTGTTCAAGCCACCCAGTCTGTGGTACTTTGTCATGACAACGGCAGCAAACCAATACAGGTTCTTTGACAAAAGAATTCACTAAGAACAGTTGAGCCTATGTATTTCCAGGCAGTGAAGCGCTAGCTCAGCATAACTCCTCACACGTCCCGCTCCGGTCCCTACACAGTGGAGCTCTGCTCACCGCCCACGCTTCGCCGCTCGGACGCCGGGCCTGGCTGGGTAGATGTCTCTTCGCTTGGCCTGCATGCGCCCATCTTTCCCCAGCCTCGTGTGTCTTTGAATCAGAGTTTGTAACACAAGTGACACAGAATCCTTCACCCCATTGTCTGCTGTTCTTCAAAGCCTTGTTTTTAAGCGCAGCCTCTGGGGCAGGCGGCCGTGCCTCTGACGCTGGCTAGAGGAGACCCGCCCAGCCTTGCTGAAATGCGCCGTGCTTCCTTCCTGCCAGCGCCCAGTGTCCCCGTGCTTCCTTCCTGCCAGCCCCCAGTGTCCCCATGCTTCCCTTCCTTCCAGCCCCCAGTGTCCCCATGCTTCCCTTCCTTCCAGCCCCCAGTGTCCCCGTGCTTCCCTTCCTGCCAGCGCCCAGTGTCCCCATGCTTCCCTTCCTTCCAGCCCCCAGTGTCCCCATGCTTCCCTTCCTGCCAGCGCCCAGTGTCCCCGTGCTTCCCTTCCTTCCAGCCCCCAGTGTCCCCGTGCTTCCCTTCCTTCCAGCCCCCAGTGTCCCCGTGCTTCCCTTCCTTCCAGCCCCCAGTGTCCCCATGCTTCCCTTCCTTCCAGCCCCCAGTGTCCCCGTGCTTCCTTCCTGCCAGCGCCCAGTGTCCCCATGCTTCCCTTCCTTCCAGCCCCCAGTGTCCCCATGCTTCCCTTCCTTCCAGCCCCCAGTGTCCCGGTGCTTCCCTTCCTTCCAGCCCCCAGTGTCCCAGGCCGCTGTTCGCCCACCGCGTCTCCCTCATTCGCGCCTCCCCTCTGCGGCTCCGAGCCTGAGCGCCGCTCTGCCTTGCGGTTTTTGCCGCCGAAGGGGAAATACATGACCCCGCATTTGGTGGCAAGAAGGGAACCTCCTGTTCGGATTCCATCCCCTGCAAGGGAACAACTGCCCACCTCCTCAGCCCTTGTCTCCGGGATGCCTCCGGCGACAGCTCGCACCGCCCCTCTGCCTCGCCCCGACGTGGGTGTTCAGCGTCGTGCCCACTCTGAGCGGGTGACGGGAGCTTTGCCAACTCTCCCTTGCCAGCTGTTTTTGAATCCAAACGTTCACCCCAGGGGAGACGCAGCACCTCTGGCTGGCCAATCAGGGAGGAGGCGGGCTCAATAAACTGATAAACATTAGCAGAGAGAACATATTAGAAAGATGACAAATGCAGTACGAAATACTGGAAAATAGGAGAAAATCAACAATTATAGACAAAAGCTAGAAAGCTTAAAAAATAAATGACTAAATAGTATGTGCTCAAAAGATCGTGTGAAGGGCAGGAGGACGGGACGATACATGCACTAGGAGACGGCGTGAGCGACAGAGGCGGAGCCAGGCCCGGGCACTACACCTGTGAGCTCGGCCTAAATAGCCGCCTCCCTGGGGTCAGGGGCTGAGGCCGGGGACTCGTCCTTCTGGGCGGAAAGCGACTGCCCTGGAGGCCAGGAGGCCGGGAGGCCGGGAGGCCCGGAGCTCCCAGAGGCTGTCCCTGCAGCCAGCTGACCGTGACCTGCAGCATAACTCCTCCCGGGCAGAGGCGACGGCCACGTGGGCTGAGTGTCAGAGAGCTAACCAAGCGGTACGGTGCCAGCGAGGCGGTTTCCAAACACACGGACTGACTTGAGGAAGGGGAAAGGGACTGTCATCCAGTCATGACGAAGGGTGCCCGAAAAGGGCCTGGGTGAGATCGGTCTCAGTCGTCCGCCCTGCGCCGCGGGCGGCCCTGTGAGCAGGGAAGAGCGCGACCCGGAGCAGTAGGGGCCAAGCCCCGCGTTTTCCCCGCGCTGGCCGGGAGGTGCCGCCGCCTGCGCCGCCAGCCTGTGCCCGGCAGGCCCTGCTCCTGCCCGGGCCAGCGGCCAACACCAGCGGCAGGGCCCGCAGGGCGCTCCGCCCCAGCCGCCAGCCCGGGGGCCGAGGCCAGGACCCCAGCACTGAGGTCGCGCCCGAGGGGTGCGGGGTGCGCGGACAGGCCCCGCAGGCGGACAGGCCCCGCAGGCGGACAGGCCCCGCAGGCGGACAGGCCCCGCAGGCGGACAGGCCCCGCAGGCGGACAGGCAGGCGGACAGGCCCCGCAGGCGGACAGGCCCCGCAGGCGGACAGGCCCCGCAGGCGGACAGGCCCCGCAGGCGGACAGGCCCCGCAGGCGGACAGAG